AACACATCCGTGATAACAGGCAGCAGGCCCGGTTCAGTCTGGAACACCTATGACAGCCTATCCCCTATGAAGTGGCGGTCACATCTTCTGTTAAAAAGAATGCAGGGGCGCCTGGGTGGCTCGGTCATTAAGTGTCTGTCTTCAGTTCAGGTCACGATCTCCAGGTCCTGGGTTCTCCCACGCAGGCTCCCTGCAAGGAGCCTGCTTCTGCTTCTGCTTCTCCCTCTCCCACTCCCCCTGTTTCTGTTCCCTCTCTTGCTGTGTCTCTGTCAAATGAATAAATAAAATCTTTAAATAAATAAGTAAATAGATAAATAGCTAAGTAAATAAATAAAAAGGAGGCAGAAGTGGGGCATACGGGAGTTGGGAAAACCTGTCAGCCTGGGGGTCTAGTTGCTGGTAGAACCAACCCAAAGAATCCTCCCCAGGTCTACCACACACACACCCACAGAGGGAGGGAGCCTCAGCCCAGACAGACAACCACCAAACATACACAAAAAACTTCTCTCTTATGGCAGCAGAAATACCAAGGTTATCTTGAAGAGTACTAAGAAATGTTAATTCCCTGGGGCTCTTTATGTAAAGATGACTAAAATCAAGAGGATAGAGTAGCCCCCAGGAGACAGATAGGAAGAGAGACACACTTTAATATTTCATTAGTGTCCCATTAGCAAGACAACACACATTTTCACACTTGGTGACTTCTTGGGAATAACGTCTCATTCAGACACAAACAGGGGACACGGCTGCTGCTTACCCCGCTGGGCTGCAAAGCATCCTGAGGCAGCCAGTCAGAAAGAACTTGACCTTCAGCACTATGGCTCCCGGCGCCAATGAACTCAAGAGTGCAAGACTTTCTGGGTGCCTCCTACAAAAACTGCTAATCTGGGATTGGGAGCCGGGCTGCCGAGAGGAAGGAGGGAAAACCTTTCTGATGCTTTTTAAGGCAGGCTCAGGAGGCCTACCTCTCCAGGCCTGGCACAGCACAGCCGCCGCCCCCCCCCCCCCCCCGCCCGCTGCCCCGCACCAACCAGGGCATTCTAAAATCTGAGCCCTGGACAGTGGAGGGCAGGGATGAGGAGGGGAGGGAGCAGGGATTTGAGAAGACAACCGGTGGGGGGGTCCTTAACTATTATTGTGCAAATCATCGTCACATTTGATATGTCCCAGGCTCCCAGTGCGGGCCAGGAATGAGCCTGATGCTTGGCCCAGGGCAGGGAGCACACAGACCTCAAACGAGGAAGCAAAAAGAAATAATAAAGTTGTGGATTTCCGTTCATGACAGACCCAGGAGGCGGGACCACCATTCCCATTTTCCAGATGGAAACGCTCAGGGAAGTTAACTGACCTCCGCAGCTCAGGGCCCTGGACTCAGACGCCCCTTCCTGTGGCTGGAGACAAGGGCATGGCACAGGGAGGGGCCCGGCCACCCCTCTCTTGGCTGAACCGTCACGAGGATTCGGACATGACAGCACACGGCTGCAGACCCCGTGCAGAAGGGTTCTGTCTTCAGGCTTCTAGACTTGTCACTACCTTCTCTGGATGGACATGAACTGCCAACAGGCAGGACGACCAGCACAGAAAGTCAAAGGAAATGACAACAGGCAGTGTCCTTTCCAGTCAAATGGGCCACCTTTGTAGAAGTGGCCTCCCGGGCTCCTTCACTCCCTCCCAGACCTTCTCCCAGGGCCAGCCTGCGGGCCCTGGTCCTGAGAAAAAGTCAGCCTCCACATCCAAGGAGCAGAGGGCATCTGGCCTCCAGGGACACCCTCCCCGAGTCCCTTTAATTTGGTCTATTAATTTAAAGCAGAGGAAGCTGGCCAGGAGTGGTAGGCACAGGGGATGTCTGAGAGGATGTAATTAATGCAGCTGCTCCACACAGAAGGTAACGCCTTGTCTCCTCATTAGCAGATGTACGGCAATTTAGGATGACGTCCTGGAGGACAGCGACGGGGACACACAGCTCCCTTCAGGTCCACGCCTCGCCCGCCACTTCAATCTCCTCACTGCTGGGCAATTACGAGGTGCTCCCAGCACAGCCTTGCAAGCTGCTGGCAGCCGGCAATGGGGTGCTGGCGCTGGAAAGGCCTACGGCCCGGGGGCCAGGCCCAAAGCACCCGAGACTCAGCAGCCACGGGTTCCCACACAGAGACCTGCGAGGGGACAAGAGCACACAACCCCACCTCCGCAGCAGTCCCTCATTCGATATTCAGCGTGGGTTCCTGACCCTGTTTGCTGAGCTGTGTAAACACGGAAGACACAAGACGGGGTCTGCGAGGATGTGAAGGCTTTCCCAAATCATGACATGTCGGAGGGCCACAGGCTCGCAGAGAGCGGTTTCCAACAAGCACACGTCAAGTCGTATTAATTTTCCCCTCAAACAACAAGACCAGCAATTTTTTTAAAAGCTGGTTTTTCCTTGCAAAGCTCAAATGTTGCAGAAACATTTCTGTAGTGAGGGTCAACCCTACAAAGCAATGCTCTGGCTCTGGCCCCCCCCCCCCCGGGGGACTAGCTCTGCAGAAGCTGGGAGTGGGAGGCTGGGGGAGGGGCGGGGGAGAAGTGGCCATATCAGAGTTTGGAGATCTGGAGATCGCGGCTCTTCTTTCCTCCCCAGAGACCACCTACGGAAAGTCCACGGCAGCTCTGGAATCACGTGGGGTGTGAACCTAATTACGACCCAGCAGAAGGGCGACAGCGTGCCCCTTCTGTCACCGTGCGACCCCCTGGGCCGCCCGACAGGTAACACTGCCTCAGCCCATCTGCAGCAAGGGCTTTTGGCTGGATGCCAGGACCTCATCGACACACAGATAAAGCCAAAAGCCAACACGGGACAGCTGCAGGGTCCTTGATGGCACACTGTGAGAACGGCCACCAATCTGAGGACTAGTCGAGGCTGGCTGCACAGAGCTCGACACAGGCCGGGCAGCCCTCGAGGCCAGCAGCTGAGGAAGATGCAGGAAATCTTCCTTGGCCTCAGGTGAATGCAAGCCCCTCACATAGCGGAGTCTGAAAAATGGACCTGGAAAGTTCATTCGGGGGGTGATTTTGACATGTCTTTTTGTGCACATGGATTAGGTTTACCTGGTTACAGAGATAAGCTGGGTGGCCAGTGAGTGTCCCCCCGTGGCACACTCTACCCACTGTACTTCGATCCACATTGCAAACTGTCAGTACCCCAGCTTTTTAGGCAACTAGAACCTTCTACACTCCACACTCTCTCCCACACATGTGCACCTTGCCCAGGTAAAGCTCCACCCCTCTGACAGGCCAGCTGGCCCAAGTGTCTGCTCTAGGACCCACCTCAGGGTAGAGCCCCCATTCACGGGAGAACTACACCCTTCTGGAGAGGCCTCAAGACCCAGCAGCCCTGGGATGGGCCTCTGCGGGCTGTGCATTTCTAGGTGATGCCTTTTCCCAGTCTCCCCCAGGGGCCAGCAGCATTTCCTCGTGCATCATTTCAGGAAGTGCCCAAGAATGAAACAACTACGATTTTGCTTAGAAAGAACAGCTACAGGGTTGTTGTTTTTCCCAAATGCAGCTGGAACGGGGAGACAAAACTGACCTTTCACGTGTATTTTGAATTAATTCAGAAATACTCTATCCAAGTATAGAATATTAGGTGACTTTACTTCTTGTGCCCTTTCCTCTAAATTATTAAAAGACTCAAGGATTCTCCAGTCTGTGGCTAACATTTCAGATGACCAAAGCAGACAAATAAATTGAGTTCTCTTTTAAGGCAAGGAAATCTGTGTTCCTGAAGAGTAAAAAAGAATGTGGCAAGTTGACCTGCTTCATCCTAACGGCCTCCGCTGAAAAACCGGGGTAAGGGTTAGGGTATAAAGGGACCAGGATGCTTGTGGTTATTACTATACTTTTCCATGTTATTCTTTGATTCAATACCTTTTAATTAAATTTAAATTGATTGAGCAGTTTCAGCAACGATTCCTCAATGCTCATGTGTGATTCTGAAAATGTCGGAATCTGGCTAAATTACGCTGGCACACTTACCTGTCAGCGACAACTCCCGAGAAATACGGCGCACTCAGGAGCCCGGCAAGGACTCTGCCCCTGAGCGGGGCAGGGGTGGGGCGGGGGGGGAGGACAAGGCACAGGGCACCTCAGTACACACCCCCAGTGAGCTGTGCAGCTTGGTCTCATAGTCACGGACCCCCAAGGCCTCATGAGCAGTATTTTGGCGAAGTCGAATCAAAGCGTACTTTATTAATCCACCTTCCAATTCTCCACCCCAACAAAACAAAACAAATGAGGACTATGGTTCACCACTATGAATTCTGTGTCAAATGTGGAGAAGGGGACAGGGCCACTGTCCCAAGAGGCTTGGATTTACGGAGGAGAATGAGGTGGTGAGTGAGTTGCCCAACAGCGGACACAGAAACCTTTTCTTGGGAAAAGGACCCGACACTTGACTTTCAATATGCTTCTTGAATATTCTAGCTTAGCATCTGCAGTGAGCAGTGAACAGCGTCTCCCGTGCCAGGAAGCAGATAAGCCGTGGGTAGAAGGCCTGGCTGGGGAGTGTGAGACAGAGGCCCAGCCGTCAGCCTGCCTGCCACCCGGGGTGGCGGGGCGCCCTCAGAGGGCACGGGCACCCACTCAGTGCCGGCTCGGGAGGCCAGGGGCCACAGCAACAGCGGACAGCCAAAGCCCCTTCTTCCTGTCACGAGGGAGATGGAGGACACACAGATGAGGAGATGCCACCCAGCAGGCGTCTGAAGCACATCACAGGAACCCGGCAGGCAGAGGGGTGAGGGAGCGCTCGTCAGATAAGGCGGCCACAGACATCCCCCAAAGGGCGCATCTGAGCACAGCTGAGGGAGAAACGGGGAGGGAACTGTGGGGGGCTCCTGGGAGAAGGAACAGTAGGTACACAGGCATCGGGAACGGGGGCGCTGTGAGCCAGACCACCAGAAGCCTGGAGGTCATGGGCCGTCTCTGGATTTTACCTGCAGTGTATTAGGATCCGAGCGGAAAGGCTAGCTGCTCAGCCCGTCGCCAGGAACTCTGTCTCTGAGGGGCTGGGAGCATCAGGTCTCACGTGTGCCCGAGGCCAGTCCTGGTGTGACGGAGGGCACTCCCAGCTTACTCCCTGTGACTGGGCCCAGGTGGCTCTGGCCCCTGGGATGGGCACCCGTACTCCCCTGTTGGGTGGGCCTGGTACCTGCTGCTGGACCCAGAGCCTTCGGTGTGTCACCAGGAAGGGACTGTCAACCCAGGGAACAGCACAAGCTCTCGGTACGGCAGGAGGCACGAGCCCCGAGAGGTGCCGGGCTTACGCAGGCCCCAGACCAGCTGTTTGGAAGAAACTCAGGACCCCTCAGCTGCCCGCAGTCGAAGCTCAGCCCGAAGCACAGAGCCCTGGACCTAAGCTGCCCAGACCTGCTCTCACCCTTTCAAAGCTCTGCACCCCTTCCAGAAACATGGGCTGTGGGAAGGCATGAGGGGGCCGCAGGGACGACAGCTGCTGAGGCTGCGGGTCAGCCGGTCACGTCTCCTTACAGCAAGAGTTCCTAGAGGTCAGGGCCCGTGTCCCTTTAGCTGTCCCAGATGTCTGGCGAATCAGCAAACAGTGACTGTTGACGATGCTGCCCAGGCTCCGGACATCCTAGAACTCTTACCGTTTCGCCAACTCAAGGACACAGTGGAAACCACACACCGGATTTTGAAAAAGCAAACAAAATGAAAAGCAATTAGTAAAGACAAATCACAAATATTTAAGCGTTGAGGCCTGCGATGGATGTCTATCTTGAAGACGGATCTCCACTTCCTCTTCAGACCCAGGGGGCCCTGCTGGAGCACAGCGAGGCCGTGTCTCAGGCACGGACGGCTCCGGCCGCCTCTCAGCTGGGTCACGACCGCTCCCCCTCAGATGCCCACAGCAGCATGGGCAGCAGGGGCTCAAACTTCACTAAAATGAGTGTTTTGACTGGTGGAAGAAAGGTGCACTGGCCCTGGGCAAGTAATAAACTGGACGAGGACATGTCACACAGCACCTTCCTCTTCCACCCCCTCTAGGGAAAGGACTGGCGTGCTCGAAAATGAGGGGGAGGGAAAATTAAATACAAAATATATTCAAATAACAGCCACAGAGCGGGGAGGGGAGGCACGGATTTCTGAGCCAACTTCCAAACTCCTGCTGCTCTGCTTTGCCTTTGAAACAGTCTCACTTTGCCTTCTGTTGCTTAAACAGTAATTATTAAAGGCATCAATTAAAAATGCCCAACTCTGCCGTCCCCATGGCCGCGGTCCCTGGCACGCCTCCCGCCCCGCCTGCAGCACCTGCCACCACCCTTGTTTTCTGTGTCAGTGGGCTAGCACCAGTCCAGAATACAGGCTCTTCTCTGGGTCCACGGGCCACTTTATTTGAGGTCAGGAGCGGAATCGCCGCCCACCCACAGCCCTGCCAAGAGAGGGAGGAAGGAGCAGGCCTGACGTGAGCCTTTTCCATCTGGAATTAGCACGCGCAGCACAGACACAATGCCATGAGTTCGGCACGTCAGACACAGTCCTCTCTGCTAGGAGGCTGGCATCTTCATCTCCTATAGAAAGCCCCTCGACAGTGTGTTTCTCCCAGCCCTTCTTCCCACCCCTCCCCGGGAACAGGAGAACCCTGGGAGAATCACACCACCAGAACCATTTGGACAGGACGTGAAAGAGGAAATCCCTCTTCTTGGCACCAACACTGGACAGCTTCCAGATCACAGAGTGGTCCCTCCTGGCTTGTCTGAAGAAATTGTGGGTGATTTCCGCTCACACTCCCAAGCAGGCAACGGGCTCATTTGGCCAGAATGTCAACATTCAGCTCTGCCTCCCCTCTGGGGCATCTGGAGGGACAGGGAGAGTATGTGGGAACACAGGGGCAGGGAGGGATGGAAAAGCTGTCTGGCCCCAAAACACACACAAGATATCCAGGTATGATCCCCAATGTGTACAGACACATTCACAAATTATTACGAAGAAAGTGTATGAAGAGCCACATGAACCCAGAACAGGGAACCAGTCACTCTGCCGGGGGGCGATGCCAACGCAGAGAGGAGGGGAAATTTAATTGAAACTTACAGGCGTTCCCATCACCCAGGTTCAGAAGGGACAGGTGGGGCATGGACAGAGGGTTTCACAGTTATCGAAGGAGATGAGGCTTTAACCTGCAGAGTAGGGGTAACTGCCTTCAGAGGAAGGCAGAAGGGCGGTGTAGGAACAGGAAGAACAAGGCAGGGAGACCCAGGGATAGTCCAGGGGTCACAAGGGCCCACACTGCGGCAGTGGCTGGGAGAGATGGAAAAGACAGGCAGAACCTGTGGATCGCCATTCAGACTCCAGGAGCACCAGAGGGCATCAAGGAGGACGCCAGAGCTGTGAGCCTGGGCTAGCTATGAGACCTCAGTGGGGAGGAACAAAGGATCAGGCGGGGAAAAAACAAGGAGTCTGGTTTGGGACACAGGGAGTTTCACGTGTTAGGTATGCAACATGAAACAAAGATGTGAGACTCGGGCAAAGGGTAGGGCCTGAAGATCCAGATGTGGTACCATGGGTGTAGAAGTGGAAATTTAAGCCACCAGATAACGGAACACAGGCCAGAGTTCTCGCACAAGAAAAAAGAGGGCCAGACACACAAATTTAAGGCACTGCAATCTCAAAAGATTGGCAAGGAGAAAGGCAGGATATGTGCAGCAAAGCAGGAGAGAGAACTGTGACCCGGACACAACCAAGGGAAAGGAAGATTTTTTTTCCCAAGGAAAACAAGGAAAGCCAACATTGACAAATGGCACACAGAAGCCAGGAAGGAGGACGGCTGAAACCAGGCCACAGGCCTCGTGCTGAGCATCCTCAGTAAATCCTAACACAAGTTTCTATTGCATGGGATGTGGACGTCAAGGCCGGACGTGTGTGTGACGCAAGGGCGGGAAGGGAAACGCAGAGAGGAAGCAGCTGCAGCAAAGGTCCGAGAGAAACTTTACACACAAAGAGAAGAGCGGCACACCCGCAAGCAGAGAGGGCGGAGCAGTAGCGCGGGCACAGCTGGCGGGCTCTGACCGGGAAGAAGAGCACAAGCTGCAGGTCGCTGCGGACCAGCAACACACCGGTGACGGCAGAACCCGTGCCCACGGGCGGCGCTACCCACGCAAAGTGGAGCGAGGAAAGACCAAGAGCCCCGATGTTTAACGCGAGCTGGAGGAAGAGACTCTTTTCCAACCCCTCGTCCCACGCCTCCAGCTCCGGCCACGGCCTGATTTCCAGCCCATCAGCTTCCAGAAGGGCTCGCCCCTCGTCAGGTGCGTGGGGGTCTCCAAGTCCTCCGCAGCGCCAATCCTACACAGGACAAGCCGGTCAACAAAAGCAGATCCGACAGGACAGGGGCCAAACACACGGGGTTACTCACCTGTCCCTCCGACACTCGGAAGCCGTGGCCAGGCCAAACCGTACGATCAGAAGCCGAGCCTTTCCGCCTGCCCCAGTGGGATACTGCACAACGTCAACGACACGTACCACACAGAAAGCCGGGCTTACACAAAACGCATGCAATGATGACCAAACAGAATAAATGGCTTAAAAAAAAAAAAAAAAAGGATTCAATAAGATGTGTATAAAACTGAGTGAAGATAATTTTATTAAGGTGTAATTAACATACAATAGAAAGTAGGGATCTGAACCTGTTTGATGTTTTAACAAGGACACCTGCTCACACAATTACAACCTAAAATGGGATTTAGTGCACCTACGTCGCCCTACTAAGTCTCCTCCTCTCTTTCCAGTTACTTCCCCCACCCAGTGTCCTCAAGAACCACTTTCCATCACCACAGACGGGTTTCACAGAGCACGCACTTCTCCTGTTTTCGAGATCCATCCAAAGGGGTTGGACCAGTAGTTCATTCTTTTTATTGCTCAGCAGAATTCCACAATTTGTTCATCCGTTTTTCAGATGATGGATATTTGGGCTGTTTCCAGCTTGGGGCTATACACAAACACTCTTGTGCAAGTCCTTCTGTGAACATATATGGGAGCACCCCCTTATGCACAGGAGACTCCTTCCAGGACCCCCAGGGGATGCCTGAAATCATGGCTAGCACGGAACCCCATATACACTAAGTTTTTCCTATACAGCCAAACCTGGAATAAAGTTTAGTTTATCAATCGGGCACAGTAAGAGATGAACAGCAGCAGGTAACAAAACAGATCATAACAATACACCACAACAAAGTTAGGGAACTGCGGTCTCTCTCCCTCTCTCTCATCCTACTGTACTCCCCCTTCTTCCCGGGATGGTGTGAGGGGATGAAATGCCTGCGTGCCAAGATGAAAGCGGTGAGTGGTGCGGGCGGGTGACACAGCATTAGGCTACTGCTGACCCTCTGCCGGACTGGATGACGGAGGGTCATCCACTGCCGGGAACTGAAACCACAGAAAGCAAACCTCCATGTCATACACACGCCCAAAGGCGTCCCAAGAAGCTGTGTAACATGACGTACTGACCAGCAACATACAACATGGCACTTTACGGCTTGAATCCACACCCCCCCTCACGAGGGAGGATGTTGAGCAGCTTTCCACACGTTAACTGGCCTTCCGTATGCTTTCTTTTGTGAAGTACCTGTTCAAAGCGTCCCGGTCTATACAGTCTGACAAAGACATATAGCTGTGTGACCACGACCGTAACCAAAATTCAGAGAAGTTCCCTTGTACCCATCTATGGCCAACTCACCCCACCTCCAGCACCAGCAACCACGATCTGCTCCCTGCCGTGTAGTTTTACCTCTTCCAGAAAGTCCTATAAATGGAATCAGGCAGAAGCAGCCTTCTGAGTCTGGTTTCTTTTTACTAAACAGGATGCGTGTGAGGACCATCTGTGTGGTATCGGTTTGCCTCTTTTCCCTGCTGAGTAGTGTTCCACTGAGCTGAGAGTCGTTCGACAGCAGAATGACACGGGGGGTTGTGCTCTGGGAAGTCATGAATAAACCCACGGCTCCCATGCGAGTTCTTGTACGAACACAGCCTTTTATTCTCTCAGGTAAATACCTACAACTGGAACTGTGGGGCCATATTTTAAGTACAGGATTAACATTTTTTTTTTAAGTGCAGGTTTAGAGAAAACTCACATTTCTTTCCAAAATGGCTGTACCATTCTGCATTCCCACCAGCCTCATATGAGAGCTGGTATACCACGGTTTTTGTTTTGTTTGGAAGACAGGTGTGCGCTGGGTAGGCTCACTGTGGTTTCTACTGCACTTCTCTGGTAACTTTTGACCCCGATGTCTCCCATGTGCTAAGCTGTAGATCTTAACGTGGCTATTCAAATCTCTTCTCCATTTTTAAGCTGGCCATTTTAATAACTCACGTTACTGAGTTTTAAGGAGTTCATATATTCTGGATGCAAGTTCTTTATTAGACACAGGCTGGGCCTATATTTCCTCCCAATCTGTGGCCTACAGTTTCATTGTCTTGACAGTATCTTTGGAAGAACAGAACTTTTAAACTTTTGATGAAGTATAAAATCCATTTTTTCTTTTAGGGATTGTGCTTTGGGTA